AACTAACTCCTAGCGTCGACCAATACGTGTATTTGTTGGGCAGCGACGGTTTACTGATTGAGTTTTATGCCTGTAAGTCGTTTTGCCTCTGTGCTGTTTTTGTATTATGGTATTATTACTTATATTTGAGACGAGAGGGTTGCCACTTTGTTGCGCCCAGGCGTAGACGTGAGTGGGCCGTGGCATCAGGCCTCGCTCACGCAAACTCAGACTCCGTGTTCAAGCGGAGATCGTTCCGTGCCTTCAGCGTCCTCCTGAGTAGCTGACCGACAGCACGCTCTACCAGCGCGCTGCTAAGTATTGTGTCGTGATAGTAGTTTCTAGTTGTGCCAGCGTTATTTCTTGTCTATTTGTCGAGTAGGACGGGAGGTCGTCGCTCTGTGTGCTCAGGCTGGGGTTCGTTCGTTCGAACTCCGTGACCTCGAACGCATCGGGATCCTCCCGCCTCGGCCGCTCCAGCAGTGGCTGGACGACAGGCGTGAGCCGCCGCTGCGCCCCAGGCGCCGGCTCTGCGCGGTTATAAACGGACGTGAACATCGCTTTCGCTCTCTCCGCGCCCCGTACATGGTTTTCCGGGGGAGTCCGGTTCTACCCCTGAGCGCGTGCGGTGCGTTCCGCTCCCGCCGTCGCCTCCTCGAGCGCCCAGGGGTGGAGTTGTGAAGAGGCCGCCTGACGAGGTGCGGGAGCCCGGGCGGCCGGACGCGTGTGGCGCTTCTGGACGGTCAAAGGTGGTCCGCAGAGGGGGGACCACAAGCAGGACCTCCAAGGTCCGGCATGCAGGCGACCCGGGAGCGCGGCTGCGCGCGGGTGCGCGGCTGGTGGACTATAGCGGCCGAGAGTGCCGGCGGGTTGCTCGTCGAGCGTGTGCCGGCGCGCTGGGTAAAGAGAGAGGCCCAGGGCCGCTCCCCGTCTACACGGGTTCGCAGTCAGCCGCGGGGTGCTGGGTGCGGTGTGATGTGAAGGAAGGGGTGAGCAGGGAAGGTGCGCGAGAGAGAGCACAGCAGGTAGCAGCAGGCGCGAGATTTGCGCGTAACGCGACCGTTTGAGGTCGAAGGTGTGAGTGGGAGTGTGTGTAGCTCGGGGGTAAAACTGGCAGGAGGTGGGGGCGGGCGGGGTGTGGGTGGGAGAAAGAGTAAAATATGAGGTTCCTTCGCTTCGAGGACGGTGGGATGCGGTAGCGCCCTTCGGGTTGGTCTAAAGGCCTATTTGGAGCGGAGCGGGGTGGGAAGTCGACGGCGTAGTCCCAGCACTGGGGAGCTGCGCGCAGGAGGAGTGTGGTTGGGCACAGAGGTTGGAGGTTGCTGTGAGCGGGAGTGTGACGCCACGGGGCAACTGCACTCCGAGCGCTGGGCGATCAGAGTGAGACTCTGTCTCAAAAAAGAATAAAAAGAATAAAAAGCAACGAGAAAGAGAGAGGTGATGTTTAAGACGACAGCGCAGGCGCCACGGGAACCTCCCGCATGGGCGGTGTCCGGCTACTAAGCCGTCTCGTCTCTCTGTTGGTCTCTCTGTCTCGTCTCCTCTGGCTGTTCTCTCTGTGTCTCTCGGTGTCTCTTGCTCGCTGTCTCTCTCTCTTTCTGGCAGCAGCGCGAGGCATTTGCTAAACACACGTTTGAGGTCGAAGGTGTGAGATGTTTACTCGGTAAAACTGGCAGAGGGGAAATAAAAAATATAGGTTCCTTCCTTCGGAACATGCTAGCCACTCGGGTTGGTCTAAAAGGCCTTTTGGAGGCCGGGCGGGGAGGCTCACGGCTGTAGTCCCAGCTACTTGGGGGGAGGCTGAGGCAGGAGGATTGCTTGAGCACAGGAGTTGGAGGTTGCTGTGAGCGAGGCTGACGCCACGGCACTCACTCCAGCCTGGGCGACAGAGTGAGACTCTGTCTCAAAAAAAATAAAAAAATAAAAAAGAACGAGAAAAAGGAGTATTTTAAGACGACAGCAGGGCCCACCCGAACCTCCCGGCCATGGTGTCCCTACTAAGGCCTTCTCTCTCTCTGTGTCTCTCTGTCTCTCTCTCTGTGTCTCTCTCTGTGTCTCTCTGTCTCTCTCTGTCTCTCTCTCTTTCTGTCTCTCTGTCTCTCTCTCTGTCTCTCTGTCTCTCTCTGTGTCTCTCTGTCTCTCTGTCTCTCTCTGTGTCTCTCTGTCTCGCTGTCTGTCTCTCTGTCTCTCTGTCTCTCTCTATCTCTCTCTGTCTCTCTCTCTCTTTCTCTCTCTGTCTCTCTGTCTCTGTCACTGTCTCTCTTTGTCTCTCTGTCTCTCTCTGTCTCTGTCTCTCTCTCTCTCTGTCTGTCTCTCTCTCTGTCTGTCTCTCTGTCTCTCTCTGTCTCTGTCTCTCTCTCTCTGTCTGTCTCTCTGTCTCTGTCTGTGTCTCTCTCTGTCTCTGTCTCTGTCTCTCTCTGTCTGTCTCTCTGTCTCTCTCTGTCTGTCTCTCTCTCCCCGTCCGGCCCCGGCGAAGGCGAGGACCACGTCTTCTTCAACGTGGAGATCCTGTCCAACGAGGACCGGGAGTGGCAGGAGTCCTTCTCTCTGGTGCTGGGCCCGGATGACCCGGTGGAGGCTGTGCTCGGGGACCTGCCCACAGCCACCGTGACCATCCTGGACCAGGAGGCGGCCGGGAGCCTCATTCTGCCAGCACCGCCCGTGGTGAGTCCC